AAAGTATGCAGACTAAGTGGTTACAATGATCTATGTTGAACAAATTTTTGTATTAGTTAATTGAACCAAAAATAAAAAAAATTAAAATTTGTGTTAAATTAATTAATAATATGACTTTTGGTAGTGATCTGCAGGTACTAGGCATCCTAGAATACAGGACCTTCTAAAAAAAGAAAAAATTTTTTGCAAAAAAAATAGAAGTTCTGTAAAGGAGTTTTAAAAGTTTTTTGCATAAAACCTTCAATATTAGTTCAATATTGATATATAATATATTAAAATGAAACTCTAAGTGAGCTCTGTTTTTTTGTTTAAGATAACAATTAAGATTAGCTTAATAGATTATTAAAAAATTTTAAAAAAAGTATTTTGAGTTTAATAAATATATCTTACTATACAGAGGTCCAAAAAATTTAAAATTAGGCTGTCTATATGTAAAATTTAGTTGTGAACAATTTTTTTTTTTGGTATTAAGATGAACTCTTTGGTCTTTTGACTTTTATTAATTATTTATCAGTATTGTGGTTCAATAAACTACTACAGGAGAATGTATAATTGGCTACATATGTAACTTTTTTATATTACCTATTTAAGGAGTTTGCCCAAAGATTCTCTACTAATTGTCATACCTAACACTCCTGCTTGGGTGTTCTACTTTAAATCCTTTGAATCTGTAATCTGTATTAATTCACTGGGTCATACTCAGATGTTGAGATTATTGTCTCAACTTTAGAACTAATTTATTCTTGAGATAAACCTCTCAAAGCCTTCTGTACCTATTTTTACAGCTGACCTAGGTATTGCTATGACAGAACCAATACTTATGATTAGGACTAATCATTAAACTGCTATGCCTTTGTAGAGTTTACTTAGACCCTAGTATCTACTTCATAGCATAACCCCAGTACTTTAGTATACTTCTATCTTTTTTTCTGCCTTTTTATCAAACTTCCAATTCAGATAGTTTGTATAGAACTATAATCAGTTCATCAATATATCAGATCATCTTGATATCTTTTTCCTCTAGTTCATTTCAGTAGCCTAGTTAGTGGTACCTCCAAGACTCCAATTCAAAGGTTCTTGCCCATCTGACTACTATGACCAGGTACTAAACCTTGGTATCTGTTTTATCAAACTAGACTTTACAGTAAGACTGTCAAATATTCAATTATCTCTCTATTTAGGTCTTCCTAAATGGGTATTTTGTTATCCAATTTTAATGAATTTACACAGTCACAAGAACTTATTTAGTGTTTACACCATCTGATTTGTCAGTTTGCATTTCTTTATATAACTTTAATATTGTACAGATACTCTATGACCTGCCAGTCATGCTGGTGAAATTACTATTACAAGTATTCAAATCCAATCATTAGTAACAGTTGTTATAATATAAATATTATATAGGTGATTATCCAAATTTTTGCAGTTGATAGAATTTGAACACCCAACTTATCATTTAGGAGGTTGACAATTTAACCACTTCACTAGGTCACCATACCTCTTGTAAACAATTTTATTTAGAAGGTCAGAAAAGATTTATTTAATAAATTATTTAATTATTACCAGTTTATTATCAGAGAATTTTGGTACAAGTGATTGTTAGAAAGAGTTAATGATTTGTATCTTATTAAGATATTTTATATTTATATAAAAAAATTAAAAAATTTTTTATATAAATCTAAAATACCAAAATTTATTAATGAAAAATTGTTAAAATTAAATAAAAAATTTAAAATATATGTAATTTTTCTTCTAAACAACTTTATTTAAGATATAAATATTAATTAACTTAGTAAAATTTTGATTTTTATATATAACTATAATTGTTAATTAATGAAATTATAATGTTCAATATCTAAAAATATGATGATCTAGTGAAGTAGTCAGGTTGTCAACCCCTAAGTGACAGGTCTAGAATTCAAATTTTAGTATTAACAAAAAATTTGAATATCTTTTTTGTATTATAATTAATTGTCTCTTACAATTGATTGGGATAAGACATCTGTTAATTGTATCACACCAGCATGACTGGTAGGTCATAAAGCATTTATATAACAATTACATGATATTGTCTTTTGAAACAAGATTTGTGATTACACAAAAAAATGCAAACTGGTACTGAGCAGTGCAAACCTACAATAAGTCCTTGTAATTATATAAATCATAGAAACCAAAAAAAAAAGATAGAAGTTCATTTGGAAGACTTGAATAGAGAAGTAATCTGAGCTTTTGACAGTGCTACTATAAAGACAGACTTATGAAACAGAACTAAAACTTATGAAACTGAGCAAATGTGCCAGTCTTTGAGAAAAGACCAGATGAACCAACCAGGTCACCAGAATTTCTAGGTTCTGAAAGAAAATGATACATGCTGACAAATATATAAATCAGAGATGTATAGTTTTGATCTATCTTTCCAAGCTATCTAGAATGATAGCTTGATAGAACTTGAATTGAATATCAAAATAGTAAGGATATGTTATAAATTAAATACTGGAGTTGGAGTAAACTTTACAAGAACATAGCAGTTTAACAGTATATTCTAATCACTAGTATTAGTCTCAGTTATAATGATACTAGATCAGTTGTAAGAATAGGATACAAAAGATTTTGAAAGGTTTAGTATAAGGTCAAAAGTTCTAAAGAACTGCTTTAAAGACTTAATGACTATGATATAATTTTACTGACATCAACTTGGATCATTTGTAAACAGAGGTAGGTGGATGGATACAGAAACTAGAGTGGTTAAATAAAGAACCTACAAGCAGTTCCAGATATGACAACTAGTATAGAACCTTCAGACAGACTACTTAAATTAGACAATGACTAAAGTTATATAAGTAACTAGTTGTACACTCTTTCCATAGTTGCCTCTTGTGATTGTAATGCAACCATTATCCAAATATACTATCAATAAAATTCTGGGTCACAAGTACTCACCTTAATATTTTTTTAAAAAAAAAAATAATGTTTGATATCTTTTTATATTAACTATTTGATCAATAAAATTACTTTATATTCAAATGACCCAAATGACATAATGATCAAATGACCTGGGTTATTTAGACAAATGACTATGTCATTTAGATTTTGAGTAAATGACCAGGTCATTTACCATTTCTGGTCAGAAGGATCCTTTAGGTAATATCAGTCGTATGCATCACGAAATGTAAATAGAAGTAGACAATTATAAATAAAGACCAAAAAGCCCTTCAGGAAGGGAAACAATTCCTGCCCTTGCAAATAAAACAATACATTCGCTAATACATAATCTGTCCCTAACTTGTAAACACTAACTTCTGTCAATACACTTACCTAATAACCAACTCGAAACCTCCCTTTCGTTAAGTGAACCCGATTAAAACCCTGTTAACCACTCGCCAAATCTAATATGCCTCTTTTGACCGAAATTAACCCAGAGTGGTTATACGAAGTACCCGATTTTGGAGCCACCGACCTGACGATCTTTTTTCCGTTTACAACGCGTAGGTATCATGTTGAGGATCGAGCATAACGAAACGAAAGAGATTCCGAAATGAATTTACCTGCACTGTAGCGATGCTTTCAAAATCTACTTTGTATTCGATAATTGTATTTCATTGTATTTCATATTGTATTTTGTGGTTCTGTAACACCTTCTCGATGAGGGACAAAAATTATAAGTATCTAAAATTAGGTTATATTAGACAAGATTAGATAAGGTATATGTTTATGCGAATAGTTAGTTTAAAGAGTCTGATAACGATAAAATATAATACACATAAATATAGTATAATAACGGATAAACACTTATTATGTATACATACATTATTAAATTTATTAATCCGACTAAATTATTTTTACATAAAACTCAATCTATTTTATTTTTTACATAAAACTCAATTTCAAGGGCTTAATTTTGGCCAAATACAAACAAAATTTTTTTTTGGTTATTATTACACTTATTAAGAAAATTATTTACAGTTTACGTACCGATTAAACTTTGATCATGAGAATGTACTTATTTGGTAAATATTATTTGAATAATATCATTATTCAAGTGATATGCGCATATCTGTTGCTGTTACACCAATATAAAAATTATACATGTCAAGAAAATTATCGTAATGATCATTAAAATGTTTGCTAAATCTTGGCAATTTTACTATAAATTAAGAAATTTTGTGAAAAAAAGGCAATGAAGGTCCGAGTGGATCTCATTGGATAAGTATACTTTGTTCTTCATTGAGGTTTTCCTTAAATTTTTTGTTTTTTCGTTTTTTTACCAATAATCCCAATAATCATTGATAAAAATGACTCAGAACAATCATTATTTATTTAAATTTCAATATAGAAACATAGACATAATCCAGTTTTAAATGCATATGGTTTTTTTTTTTATTGCAACATAAACAAGACCAATAAATGATCAGTGATGAAAGTTTTTATAACTATATAAAATACCAATCTTGCCTAAAAAAAACATTTTAAGGAATTTTCTAAAAAGAAATTTCTTACATTGACATTTTTTCCAACGTAGGTATTTTTATGCAAATATTATTTACTATGATATTAAATATATAATGCAAGTTCAAAACCTTACTTAGAATAAGAGTTTCATTATTGTTCGACCATTATTGTTGGTAAATCAAGTAATGTTAGTGCTGAAATTGATTATCGTGCAAGCTGCTCCCTAAAAGCATCAAAATCACTGCTTCTCAATGATTAAAGTAAAAAAAAAAAAAAACCGTAATTATTTTATACACATTCGTTAGGGAGCAGCTATTTATAAGAAATACTTATCAAGATTACAAGTACCAATGATTGGTGGCTACACACATGATTATAATTAATTGGTTGTTGACATTTGCCACAATTGTATTCCTTGAAACACGTAGTATTAAGTGGCGCAGATTTGGTGTAATTAGAGCATATAAATTAATTTCATCATTATATTCTTCTTTAATAATCGATTAAATTTACAATATAATAATAGTAATCAAATATCTTAAACCTAACAGATGTCTCAAGAATCAGGCCAGAAAGATAACAAAGTCCGTATACCATCAGGGGATAAATCGACCCAAGATAGTAAAAAAGGGAGAGCATCAAAATTTATACTAAACATACTTATTAATGGAGTTTTGCCAGTCATCCTCCTTTATGTCCTTAAAAAATATGTAACAACTACTGTGGCACTTGCTATAGCGGCTAGTCTACCAATGGTTTTATTTATCATTAGATTTATTGTTAACAGACAAATCGATATCTTTGCAATACTCTCTATAATTGGTTTCATTATTGGAATCATAGATGAGGCAGTTGCATTGGTTGAAAATAACCCGAAATTATTTTTATTATGAAAATCTTTTTTTACTGCCGTTTACGGTTTAATACTCCTTATCACCTTGATTCCAATCAAAATTGGTTCATTCCAAATGCGACCTTTATTCTTTATTATGGCTAAAAAATCAGGAGTTGGTTATTTTGAAGGTTTGACTGAAGATGAACCTTTTTCCAAACATTGGGATAGTGTTATCCGGCTAAGTCACGTGCCACGTGACACGGCTAACCAAATAAGGGTGACCCGGCTAGAAAAATCAGAATCGT